CTTATGTCAAAAGATCAAGGGAAGTTTGGTTTCTCAGTTCATGACTCCTTTAATGGTGCTCTCTATGTTTGTGCATTTATCAAAATTATGGTATACCATGTCAACTTAAGGCTTTCGGAAAACCAGCCATACTAAAGTCTTCAGTTTTATTGCTGAAAAAGATGTAAGTATCAACAATCATGTAGCGCTTTGAATATTATGCCTGTTCAAACAGAAATGAGATGGCTTTTAATCTACAGAAGTCGTATAGTTCTCACACAGTGCATGTTTGTACCCTGTATCGACTCTTTCCTCTGCGAGAACACAGTAAGAAATCCTCGCTCAATCACACACCCACAGACTCCCACGCGGCTGCATATAAGTATGCACACTCTCTCCCACAGACAACTAAAAAGACACAAAGGAAAAAATGTGGGCTAGTCTATAAAGAGTACAGACAGGTGTAGAAGCAGTCGATAGGGATACTGAAACTCCTTTGGGGAGAGGAACCCCAGAGGAATAGAAAATGTAAACCAACCAAAATGGATATGAATAAATGTTATCAGCACTGCTGTAACTGATGATCAAAGTCCATTTCCCAGTATTTTTTTTTTAAATAGAAATGGCTATTTTTGATTAGAAAAGCATAAAGATTTTTAGAAATGTGTAGGTGGAGATTTCCAGCTGCTTATTTGAAACATAAAGCTAACACTAATGTCAATGAAAACTTTCCTGTGCCTGACTGATTTTATTTGTGCATTCTTATGAAGTCCAAAACTTTTTTTTTTTTTATAATACCAGATTTCTGAGGATTGGGCATTTGCTGAAAATACAGCAAATAGACACCCTTAAGCTTATAAAGACCATGGAACAATCCGACAACATCATGATTTGATTTTGAGTCTTTTGTTGTTATGACATTGTTTTTGTATTAACTGCCTTTATGAAAGATTAATTACATCAACACAGAAATTATATGGGGAAATAACACACTTCTGGGACTCATGAAGTGCTTAGAAACAGACATGAATTATAAATACTGTATTCCTGCTAATGTTGTGCCCTGGATCAATATCATAATCGTATCATTTCTAAATAAATAATCACCTTAGAGCAGCAACAAACTTGCTGCATTTGTTCGTCTTGTACAAGGGAAGCTGATCTTTGTTTTGTTCAAGCTGGATGTAGTTGATTCAGTGCATATCCTACTGATGTTTTCAGATTCCAATGATTTTGTTTGTGCGTATAGTATAAATAATGCAACAAAATGCAGTTAGATTACAGTAGTGAAGCCTTTACTGTTGCCATGCAGTTTAAATGCTGATAACACCAATTCTTTATTTTTATATTCCTTACACTACCCAAAGACTAATTGATGTTTCTTGGTCTTGTGTGTAGTTCATTCATATCCAGCATATCTGATGAGCTGACATTTTGATGAATGAGGGGCAAGGAGATGCACTGTCTGTGGGGGCTGAGTGTGTAATTTTCAGAAGAGACTCAGGTGATAGCTTCAGGGTACAGAAGGAAGGATGACAAAGTAATACTGCAAGTTTCTTGTAAGTATAGTTGATGATTTTTGCTTTGTTTATATGTTTTTAGCTTGAGATGTCTTTCTGTCTTCAGCCAAAGAAATTAGTCAGTCAACAGATTAGTTGTCAACACTTGAACTATTAAAAGAGTTCGTTCACCCAAAGTGCCAATTGTGGCTCATCTGTTAATTATTTTACTCACCATTATTTGTTCTTTTGTGAAACTTAAAGTAGATGTTTAGCTGAATGTCTTGATTGCTCTTTTCCATACAATGGAAGAAAACGTGACCACACTCTAAAAATAATGTTTCTTTATGGCCATCTAAGGTTCCATTAGAAACCTTTAACATCCGTTAGGGTTGCAAAAAGGTAGAACATTTCCAATAAATTTTGGAAATATTCCAGAAATTTTAG